TTTTGGATCTTCCCAGCAGCAAATTAAGATGACTATTTTTCAACCTGCTCTTTGCAGACATGGAGAACGATTTACCGTGATACCCTGTCCTTACAAGCCTTCATATATCTGAAGACTTCGTTCTTACTCAATGTCCTCCTCTCTAGACTAAACAAACCTAATGCCTCAGCCCTTCCTCACAGGTCACACTGCTGAAACTCTCCTCATTTGTAATTCTCTCCACTGGACTATCTCCATTTCATTCACTTTCTCCTAAAAGATTATAATCCCAAACTGGACATGTTTTCCAGCTAACTAACACTGAATAGAATCATTTGTCATCTAGAACAACCCTGCCATGTTGGAAGTTACCAGTGTTTGCCTTTTAATTGTTGATTACAATGAAGTTCTTTCACTGTAGAATCTACCACAATCTTTTTTTTTTTTTTTTTTCCATAGTTTTGTTTTGCTGATGAGAATTGATGCACAAGCATTATTTCCAGAAGTCTAAAATTCATCAATATTTATAAAAACAATCTCATATCTGTATACTGGGAAAAGCAAAGTCTTTCTCAGTGTATAAATATTGTTCTAGCTATAAATACACCTGTGTTCTCAGATGCTTTGAAGTCAGTTTATTTTTGATTCTTTTGCAATTAAACAACAGACCAAAGAAACAGTGGGGAACACCAGGCTGGTGTAGGGGACTGTGGGAGCTCTGCTCTTCCATGTATACCATGAACAGAGCAGAGACTCAGGGTAGGGTGGTAACTGTGGTAGGGTGGTAACTGTGACCCCAGCTGCCTCATACATAGTTAAGCTAGGGTAGGACTAGGGGAATAATTCCGGAATGTTTTAGATTATTGCTGCATGGACACGTGTTTGGGATTTTGTGTTATTTATATGAGTCTGCAAGTGCCTGGATAAACTCCCATGTGCCTGGGGGAACAGCTGAAGGCAGCCAGGACCAGCCAAGGCTAAGCTCCAGCCACAACACAGGCTGATGGCCGGGTGCTGCCCCACCAGCCCTGCTGCACCTCCACGTGGGTGTGATGCTGTGCCCCCATGCCCACACATGGCAGCACCGAAACACTGTGACAGAAGAAGGAGGAAAGAAAAAAGCCTGCAGCTGCCTTTGATATGCATCTGTCTCATCCAGGACTATTACTAATAAATTCTCAGAGTACAGACAGCTTGCCAGAGCCAGCGTTCAAAGGCAAGAAAGAAGGCCAAAATAATTTTGTGTACTTTTAAATAAAACAGATCCCTCACAAAAATGCTATTCAGGGAACTTTAATATTATCTTTTGGAGAAGTCTATGTAGTGCTGCAAAAAATGGTCTCTGTTTTTCCTGAAAATACAGTTGTCATAAAGCAATGAGTTCTAAATCCTGTGTCTAAAAGTATGTCCCCTGTAACAATCCCTATTACACCTACATACAAATGTATTTATATCTAGATCAACCGAGCTTTTGCCCTTCTGCTCCATGGGAGGTTTCTGGCCTCCCTGAGCTCGCAAGTTTCTCAGCAAGTTTGCTGATGACACCAAGCTGAGTGGTGTGGTTGACACAGTGGAAGGAAGGGATGCCATTCAGAGGGACCTCAACAGACTTGAAAGATGGGCCTGGGTGAACCTAATGAGGTTCAACACAGCAAAGTGCAAGGTTTTGCGCTTGGGCTGGAGGAATCCCAGGCATCCATACAGACTGGAAGGAACAGTCCTTGAGAGCAGCCCTGCAGAGAAGGACCTGGGGGTCCTGATGGATGAAAAACTTAACATGAGCCAGCAGTGTGCTCCTGCAGCTCGGAAAGTAAATGGTATCCTGGGCTCCATCAGAAGAGGGATGGCCAGCAGGGACAGAGAGGTGATTGTTCCTCTCTACTCTGCTCTTGCGAGGCCCCATCTAGACTGCTGTGTTCAGGTCTGGAGCCCCCAGTGCAAGAAAGACAGAGCTGTTGGAGAGGGTCGAGAGGAGAGCTGCAAAGATGATCAGGGGACTGGAGCACCTCCCCTATGAAGACAAGCTGAGGGAGCTGGGCTTGATCAGCCTGGAGAAAAGAAGGCTGCAGGGTGACCTCATTGCACCGTTCCAGTACCTAAAGGGAGCCTACAAACAGGAGGGGAGTCAACTCTTTGAAAGGGTAGATAACTGCAGGAAGCAGGACAAGGGGAAATGGTTTTAAGTTGAAGGAGGGAAGATTTAGGTTGGATGTCAGGGGGAAGTTCTTTACAGAGAGAGTGGTGAGGTGCTGGAACAGGCTGCCCAGAGAGGTTGTGGATGCCCCATCCCTAGAGGTGTTCAAGGCCAGATTGGATGGGGCCCTGGGCAGCCTGGTCTGGTATTAAACGGGGAGGTTGGTGGCCCTCCATGTGGCAGGGGGGTTGGAGATTCATGATCCTTGAGGTCCTTTCCAACCCTGGCCATTCTGTGATTCTGTGGTATCTACATATCAGTATAAGGAAACTGCACATCACTGCAATATCACCCTGCTCCAGGCAGAGTGCTAGCTCGTGACTGCTGTTACAAACACCTGTTTTGACATTACAGGGCTAGGGGACTTCAGGTTTTAAAAAACAAAGCTGCACTGCCTGCGGAGAAAAGACTACAGGTAATTACATACAGGAGGGCTGGGGAAAAGTGGGTGACATGAACAAAGAGCACATCTTGAGGAGCTTTGAAAGCTAGTGCAGCTTACTGAGATCAATGGCATGTCATCCCAGAGGAGTGCTGAAAAAGCCTTTGTAGTTCTGCCCCCCTTCTGTCTGTCTGCACTTTGTATTTCTAAGCAGGCAGCACGCAGACTGTGCGTGCCTTTAAGCACACATAGCATCCATGTAACACAGCATCAGAGGTGGCATACAAATGAAGTACTTTGCAAAGATAGGTGGTGCAAAGCAATGCTTACTTAGATCAGAAGCTAAGGAATTGGTTTTATGATCTGATCAATAAGATGTCCATCTAACAGACATTAAGATCGTCCCAGTCCGTAGAAAGCAGCATGTTTTTGTTCAGAATAAAGCACCTCAGAGATACAGCAGGGGGAAGTACTGTAAATAAAGATTTAAAAAAATGATTCCCCAAGAGCAATAAAGACTAGTAAAAAATAAGTAATGCTATATCTGAAAGAGGTTTAAACTGGCTTTCAGAAAATAGCATAGCACATGAAACACAGACGTCAGCCTCTCAAAAGAGAGCTTGCTACACGAGGCAGCACAGAAACAGATAGAGCGGGGAAAATTTTCAAAGCAGCTTAATCTATAAAAAGGTAAATATCATTACAAGGAAAGGTTGAAGACAAGAAAAGGGAAAAAGAAAAGAATCCTTTCCTCCTACTAGCTCAGGATAGTGATGTTTGTAGGACTCAGTTTGATATTTCAATAAATAATTATGTTTTTTCCAATGAAACAACCAGCTAGACATGGCAAACTGTAATTAACACCAAGAAGCACGATACCGTTTGGCATGCTCACACCTTGTTTCTGAACAGGAGGATGCAAGAACTCCTTACAAGCTATTCAAAGAAACTTACAATTATAATTATATGCTAGTGTGATTAGCTCCTCTAATAATGTCATGCCTATTGAGCACGCCCTATTGAGAAGCCCACATTAAAAAATACACTGTTCCACTGATCTGTATGCTTATGTCAGAAACCCTTATTTGAATATCCAAGAAATGAAAGAAACATTACTATGGAAATCGAGAAATTCAGTTTAGCACTGTAAAATAATATTATGATTGAATAATATTAGCACCAACTATAAATAAATGTGCCAGCATTTCCCATTATAAAACACCATATGCAATTGCCTGTAGCTATGCCAAAAATTTTAAGCTGTGAAGGTGATCCCCATGTTAAAAATTTATCCAAAGCTTTGGTGACTTGCAACAAAACTTTGACTTCAGGCAACAAATAGATGCTTTTGACCATGCACAAAGGATCAAGACAGCATGATAAACTCGTTGCAGAAGGGTCACACTCTGGCTTACGGTCACACTCAAGTGAACAAGAAGGAATACAAAAAATCCCAGCACTCAATCAGTGAGTTTTGAGCTGAATAAGCAGCTGAATATCATGTATGACTAACAGAATGTGATTTGCAGTCCTCAAACAGCTTTGACATAACCAATCTGACAGATATACCCTTGCGTAACCCAGGTAAATACATTTTAATTTTGTCCTAAATTATGTTCACGTACGGAATATTAGAAGGAATTCATTTGTTTAAAACTTCATCTGAAGAATAATAATATCACAGAACAATTTGCATATACATGCAAATTATTAAATAGGTGCTAACTATTTTTATTATTAATAATAGTCTTTAAAATAGAAACTCTCTTTTCTTAATCTTTATTGCAGGAAACAAAGATAAGATCTCTATGTAAAATAAGCCACAAAATTACTCTCAGCCCAATTGTGTTGGTAACTGGCCATTCTTCATTTTAATTTAGAAGTAATGAAGGATATAATTTATGAAATGAAGATGCCTGCTATCTTAGACCAATTAATCCATGTCCTTTATGGTGTATTCTTAAGAGTTAAATAGAGTGGTGTGATTCCTGGGGACCCATGAGCATACGTGCACAGGTAGCTCAGAGGTGAGCAGCACCTGCCTGTATAATGCAAGTGAGAATCCCCTGAAAGTGCTTAAGTCTGTTATAAGCTAACAGAAATGTGTGCCCCTCGCCATTTGAATGCTCACATTACTGAGCCATTTTTGTAGCTGATCACAGCATCTCCACCAGCTTGGATGAGTTTTCAGACAAGTCAGACGAAAGCGACCAAATTTTCTGCCGTTCAGGCTTCCTTCTCCTTCCAAACCCCCTTGTGCCTCACCTCACCAGCACTACCTCCAGATGTACTATTTATTATTACTTCTGTAGTCAAAAAACCAATTTACTACCCACATTTGGAAGATGCCCTCAGGACTGCAAAAACCTTTAGACAAAGCATGGAGGGATATATAACGCTGTATTGGGAAAAAAAGACATTAATGGCCATAATGCAAGGCATTACCATTCTCTTCATCTCCTTGGAGACCTGGTGAGCTCCGAGGTGGTTGTAAAAGGGCCGGTCGACACCCCAGTGCGGCGGGTTGTGGCTGATGGAGTTGGTGCGCTGCCTGTTCATCTTGGCTATTGTGGCTTTCTCATCTTTCTGAAAGACAAGCGAGGGAGAAACGTGTGAATAGCCAACACCTTTTTCAGTAGGCACAAGCATGGCATTTTCCACACTTGAAGGAAGAGAACAGCTTCCCAGACACGGCAAGCATATAAATCTTACAATCAACTGAACTGTGTAGCCGCTAAGGGCAACAGGACAAAAAAAATGGTCTCCTCTGCCCTAATGCTAGCTGCAAATATTGCCATTGGCAGCAACTTCCCTGAAGTTTGGACAAGGTCTTTGTGTTTGCTACCAGAAATGGTTTTGAATCTTGGCTGTACTGGAAGCTTACTGCAAATCTTGTACATTGCAGGTCTGAAAGGTTTCCTTAAAGCTCAATACCAACTGCAAGAGCATGGAACTGCAGTGATTATCTTACCTTACCTAAAGACAAACTCTTTAGGGCTTGGATAACAAATAGCTAAAACCTGCCTATCACTTGGGAGAGAAAACCTATTTCAAGAAAATTGCTGCTTACATGCGTTTATGAAAACAATTAGATGAAATTGTTAATTTTGGGTTGCAGACAGTATTCAGGCATTTGGACATTAAAAAAAAAGAACCAGTTGTTTTAAACTTAGAATTTTTGTTTGTCCTGAATGACAACGTTGGTCAGCATCTGTTTTTGCCTGGAATCCACTTTACTTATCTGTTTATTTTGATTCATTGCTACTGACTATAACTTGTACCTGTCAAGAGTTTGCAAAATACCTGGTGTTATTTCCATGGAAACCAGAGAGTTAAATGTCAAATGTTATGCTGCCTTAAATTTCTTTTTTTTTTTCCCCAAAGGAAAGCGAAAAGAATGTTTAAACTCAGTGCTGGGGAAAACCACCCGATGGTTCAAGTATGGGAAATCATCATCTCTTTTCTTGCAAAGAAGAGACAACTCCTACGACAACATTTCCCATGAGACTGCATGCTCACCATGAGGGCACCAAGGGTTTGGGGCAGGTGGCCCTGCAGGCTTGTCCCAAAGGAAACACCAGCTTCACCAATGGGACGTGTGCTCCCACACCTCCTGCCACCACAGCTGCAGCTGCCTCCATCCCCATGTCGGACCCACTGCCGCCTCAGCTGCGAGCGCTGGAAACTCCACCGCTTGGCACCAGGGAACTTCACATGAGCAATCCTGACAGGGCCACTGGATCACCTCCAAGGGAGCAGCACTTTAAGGGCTAAAAATACACGAGCATGATGCAACGCCAATGTGCAGATTTGAGGTTTTGGTTTTTAAAAGTCATCGCACTTCGTAGTGCTTGCAATCATTTGCAGCACTTTTTGTGGTTTCTTTTTTCATGTATGGATTTTTTTCACAATTATGCTTCTTGTTTTATACAGCGTGATGCCAGAAAACTGGTAGAAATTGTAGTTCCATTTTCTATAAGCAGATATACATTGTTGTCACTAATAAAAGTGACACTGTCAATCTATTTTATTGCAGTTTAGTGAAGGGTTTTCAACCTGAAGCAATCAAAAACTAGGCTGGGGACCTATAAAGCAAAGCTCCTTGGCTTACATTGCAAATAGTTTTACATCAACAGATGATAAAAAGATACATGGAGCAGTTTTTCCCCACAACTTGGTCAATTTGCTTAAAATTTGAGAAAAGCCTTAAAGTCCCAAAATGCAATCAGATGTGCTAAGCCCTATCAGCCAGGGAGTGATCCTCCCACCTGCTTCCAGTGCAGAATGACTCTGCAGCTCTACTTTTCCTCCATGCCAATCACCTGATTAATGTGAAGGGAGTAAAGACCTCATACATGTATACAGGCACATCTGCATTGAGGTAAGGTTGGGAGAAATGAGTAAATACGTACTTCTGAGAGAGGTCAGGCACCATAAATTATCCATGGCCATGTGCACTCTGTGGGGGTATTTCCCCACCCCTTTTAGAAGGTTTATGTTGGATTGTGAGCTGTGTTTCAGCAATATTTCCAATCACATTAAAGCACATATATAAATAAATTGTGGATTTTCTGTTTTCCAACGTTACATGCTGTGCTACTCTGTTATCTTGGACAGTAGGACTTCGCTGTTAACATAAATACTTACTCAAAAAGCATTTATTCAAACTCTACATTTTTTAAAGTAGAGGTAATTTATTTCCTGAAAAGTAGCATATTCAGTGGCTGATGAGAATAACAAGGTCTAAAAATGAAGAACAAGCAGGATCACAACTTTGGTTTGGAAATTTATGAGGATCCCTACACTGTTCCCTCCTGCCTATTGGCAGTATGAGAATACCTTGCACACAGTGCTCCCTAAGGCATAACGAAGCAGGAAGGAAGAATAAAAAGAAGGAACAGAAGACACCTTTCAGTCTTACTCATCACAAGTACTACCAATAACAGGAGCAGGTGCAAAGGTTTCTGACAGCAATGTGTCTTTCAGATTTGAAGTGGCTGCACTTCAGAAGATGTGGGAACTTTTCAAATCTGAACTCACGAGGAGCCTGTAAAATTGTATTCCCAGAGGTTTTGTGCCGTTCCCACCACCAGTTCCCACACACTAAGCTACAGTAATACTATAGCAGAACTGCAGAAGTAGCTGGGATTTTCTTACAATTATCAATTGCATTAAGCATGCCTGTTACTTCTTTAGCGTATGATTAGATTTTCCAAATTATGCAATCACTATCAGTACAACAAAACAGTGATGCTGAGAAGGGATCAAGCATTTCTCATTCAGCTACCTATTCTGCCTTAAACTGTCTTGAAATCCTACTGGTATGAATGGTGTTTCTTGCAGTAATACATGGTCTAAACACTGCGTTCATAAATCTGGGGAGTAGAACCCCACAGAGTCGTGATTAAATTTGTTAAATTGGGGCATCAACATGTTAGATTGATGGTGTTTTAGAAGAGTCACATGCTCAGGATTTAAATGACCATTCTGTTTCTTCAGCTGGATGCAGTTCCAGGACACTATTTGAAAAAGAATGGGAACTGTTTTTCTAGGAGTTACAGCCAAAGTTTTGTTGAGCTGTTTCAAAGCCATCATCAACAATTCTTTCTGAAACTGTTGTGTACCTGCTATTGTTAAAAGAAACGCCCATATTTACTGTGACTGAAAGGCCTTAGAAATAAATAAACATTTTTTCAGTTGGCTGCCTTTGAGCACCCAGCGCAGTGTTTAGTCAGCAGTATTGCTCATCTGTTGACAGTCACGTTTTGTTTCCACCTGTGTTCAAAGCAAAGCATTTCCCCAGTCTTCTGGCATTTTTGAGGGCTATAAAACTAACCATGAGCCTAATGTGCTGTTAAAATCCTATTCACCCTAAATTCAGACCCAGTTCCCACTCTACCAAACACATACTTCTGCACCCTTCTGAGAGTAAAGACTCTACCAGTGACTAGAATTGATGTGCTGGTTCTGCAGATCAACTAGTGCGGCACCTGTCCTCAAAGGAAAACAAAAGTTGGCCATAACCACTAAGTGATGTGCTCCTACCCAAATGCCAGAAGCTCAGGCAAAATAAGGACTTGGGATCACAGAATCATTAAGGTCGGAAAAGAACACTAAAATCATCCAGTCCAACTGCCAGCCCATCACCACCCTGCCCACTAAACTCTCACTACTGGATACTGCTATAATTAAATTCAATACTCTAAGAATAGCAGGGATGTGCTGGAATAGCAGTAATGACCAGGACAGTTTTGAATAAAAGGAAGGAAGATATAAAAGCCAAGAGCTGAGGTACAGAGCCTTGTGGTAGGAGTGCCACAGTCTGCACAGTAAATCTAGAAGTATAACATGAATAAACCAAAATCATTCTGCTGAAGGATGAAGAAGTCGTACTGGGTAATGCTAGGCAGTTCGTTACAATGCCTTGGGGCTAAGTTTGGGAACCAGTAATGATCTGCATAACAGTGTTAGCAACTTTAACTGATAATTCTCTGTTTATCTGGAAACAGTGGTTTTTCAGATAAAGAATGAAGAAGCAAAGCCAGTAATAGAGGAAGGGTAATGAGATTTCCTGCATTTATTTCATGCAAAGGTATGAAGTTCAAAAGAAATATATATTCAAGCAAGTAAGAAAAGAATAGTGAATTAGGGTAGAACTCACCCTATATAAATTACCCTATGTAACCCCAGGGAAACAGATATTCAAAAATCTACATCATTCCAGAACCAAAGGAACAAACTGTTTCTCTTTTCAGATAATCAGTGCCGCCGCAGTCGAGGCAAAAAGGAACAGGGATCATAAGGGTAGGGTTGTAAACAGAAAACATGACAGAAATTGGAAGCAAAACTTAAAATGTAATGTGCTGAATGCAGATGGATGACCTCCATCCCAGATCTCTGCAAAACTGCCAAATTCAATTTCAGTTCTGGTAAGAGATACTTTTAATAACTATTTAGTCAGGGATCATGACACTGAACTGTAGAGCAGTGAATGCTGGCTTGGATTAACAGCCATGAGAGCATCCAAGCTTTTCTAAATAGAAAAAAATACATTAACTGTCCCTGAACTTGTTTTTTTTTCCATAGAGCATTTGAGAGAGAGCTGTGCTGGGGACTGAGGATAAGGCTGTGGAGGAACTAGAAGCTGGGAGAAGAGCTGGCTTATGGCGAAAAAGCAAGAGATGACTTTGAGGGAAGATAAATTAGGCTGGATGAAATTCACTGAGAGAGTTGCTCAGTGATTAGTCTTGGGGCATATTTAAAAAATATTTTCCTTACCAAATCAGGCACCAAGTGCAGCACTGTTGGACTTTGTAAAGAGAAGTGGTGAAAATATTTGACTGATAAGGGAAAAAGATATCAGACAGCACTGGACATTTGAGAGCTGACATAGCAGAAATGGGATATTCCAATCTACAAAACTCAGAATCATTCCTTTAGAGATTACAGTAAAAAATGTCACTTCATTATCAGGAATTACATCCACCATCACAGAACAACTATGAGACTCAGAGGTAACACAGCTGTGCAAGAGCTAATGGCTTTCTTTGCTGATTGGGAAAACTGAGTTTGTCATGAGAACCTAGGATTCTCTTCTTCATTGCAAGAAAAAATTAGAATAGTTTGTCTTGGGATATAAAAGGTTGAGAGGAACAGAGAATTGTGTGCAAGAATTGTGTGATGTATGCATATTGCCCCAAGTAGCACTGAGGTAGATTTGATGGCTCAAGAAATTCTTTCTGGTTACATTTTTCTGTCTACATTATAGCTTATATCTATCTTTGCATTCCTTACATAGTTTAATAAACTGTGCCTTTCTCACATACATTAAGAAACTGGTCTCCATGTGGAGTCCAGCAGCGAGTGGTGTTCTTCAGGGGTCAAAAAATAAATTGGAAACAGCAATCAAAACCTTTCATCTGCTCAAGTCACTCCTGCTTTGGGCTATTCAAGAAGCAGTTCTGACACACCGCTTTTTTTTCACAGGGAAGTGTTTATCCACAAGAGCATCAATAGCACAGGACAGTGCAAACAGAAAGGTGAAAGCAGATCTTAGTGATGAGGAAAGAGAAACCTAAGCAGACAGTATTCCTAAGGTTTTGCATTTTATTCTTTCAGTAGAATTCAATTCTTGTGCACATCAGAAGGAAAACAAGCACTACACTTTCAGCTATAGAAAAAAAGTTCAAGTAATTAAAATCTAGCCATATTTTTTTTTCTCCAAAACAACTAAATATATTCCAGTTAACAGCATTCTTAAGAAAAAAAAAAAAAAAGCTATTTTCAAAGAAGGAATTCTGATTCCTGGAACAAAAAATACTGCATAAATGTTTCTCCTGTTTACTCTGTGCCAAAGAAATAGCATTAACATAATGAATTAATTTAATGGCTGAAAACGTAAAGTAAACAATAAAAGACAGGAAGTTTAAAGTTATGACTCCCCATGGCAACAGTAAGCAGAAAGGGTCTGACAGTAAATGCTGACATGGCATGCATTCACTGGAACTCGTGAGGTTGTTGGGTTTGGATGGCCATGGGACAGATGGACAAGGTATTCAGGCAATTCCAGGGGGCCTGTGTGAGCTGGGATATAGCTCAGGCAGCTAAGTGAGTCACCTATGCATCTACTCTTGACACAAAATAAAGCATCCTCACTGTTAGATCCTCTAGAACAAACCTTTAATTAAACTGCATTTCTTTTTTCCCCCCTCCCCTCCCTTTTTTTTTTTTTTATATTCTTTGATTCATTTCTTAACATATATATTAATAATTGTGTGGATTCATTTAGCTTTTCAATGGAGTTTCTCACAACACAGAAGAGACAAAATTAGGAAATTAAATTTGATTATCTATATGCAAAAAGAAACAAAAAAAACAAAAAACAAAAAACCAACAAAACTGCCCCATGCATTGCTGCCTTAAGATATTAATATCCATCTAAACTCAATAACAGTATTTTCCCAATCATATCAGAATGTGCAGGTGTGAGAGATGTTCAGAATTTAGGCCCAATCAAACCCAGAGACCAATCATGAGAAGTACCACCTTCCAAAGGCCAATGTTTCAGAAAGACACAGCGTTTAAGCGGAAAGAAGTCTCGCAATGCCAATTGCAGCTAAGTAGTTTGTGCTTTCTGAAAGGACATCAGAATTGTGAGGTATGGTGCAGATGTACCTGATCACACCTGAAGTAACAGCAGGGTTTTAATATGGAGCCTTCAAGCATGAGCTTGCACTGCTTGAACTAATAATGTCATTTCAAGGTTAAGAGCAGACTCATCTACTATACATGGACAAGAGCTTTCACTCTGCAAGAAGTTGTTATGAAGGGAGGGCAACTGACGGCCTGATCAAAGCATATGTTAGAACATCTTCATCGCCTTACAGAAACCAGAATCCAAGGGACAATATTCCAGTATCCATCAAAAAACATTCTTAGCAAAACCTGACATAAGTTACACCCTGGAAGGGACAAGATTTTAAACAGGTATTCTTCTTCATCTAGTGGCATAACCAGCAGAACAGATTGAAAGCCATGTGAACAGAAGAAACACAGGGAATGGGAAATGTTCCCACTGTCCTTGCCTAGGCCTAAGAGGGTGAAAATTCAGGCAAACATGATTTATGCTCTCTCCACCAGAAGAGATGCTGCTAGCTAGGATCACAATGGCATGCACAGAGAGCTCTCTAATGAAAACCCTACAGCTTGTGTTTGAGGACTGTAGGAACCCAGACACAACTCACAGGAACCCATGACTAAGTTAAGTAAACTCTTTATGGTCATTACTGGGACAGACACAAATGAAAACCTGGCTAAATACATCACAGGAAGTCATCAAAGTCAAGCAGAAATGGAAAGTAAAAGTGAACTGCTACAAATTCTCCCAACATCCAGCAAAATATTCACGGCAGACCAAGCTGGCTATTTCAGAAAGCTTTTCTCGCTTCTGATCTCCCTATTAGGTGAAAATGAATTTTCAAGGAAGGAGAGAACTTGAAACTAATCACAATGGGAGAGAAAATGGCTATGGAGAAAGAAATCTGCAGTAGCATGAGCAAACCAGGAGCCCCTCAAGCTCCAAAAATTACCATCTATGACCTTGGGTAGCAATTTCTTTATGTTTTAATTTAGCACAAAAATTACATAGATCATGAGCATGTCCCTATTCTCAACTCTGGGGTGCAGCATGTATAAGCAGCATTACAGCAGTGCATGGAGACTTCAGCTACTACTTAACAAAGCTGTAACACAGATAAAGTGGTGAAAGAATGGGGAAGGGGGAACATTTTATTTTACATATAGAATGGAATCCTAGTATCTCTTTATCCAGTCTCCTAGTCATAAGGTGCTCTCTGTTCAAAAACAAAGTCAAGTTCTACATGCTATGGGTGGCTGCTAAGTGTTTTCTTTCTGCAAGGAGCAGAATCCTGATGTTTTCTTAATTTTTCCCTTTCTCTCCAAAAACCTTCTGTTCTCCACAAGAAGATGCAGACAGGGAGGTGACTGCATAATTTAACAAGTCAATATAGCTTCTCCACCCCTGGAGAAGGGGCCTGGTAAAGGGTACTGTGGTTTATGTTCTTGAATGTACCCAGAAATGAAGAAGTGGCTTAGGTATGAATATCAGCTGGTCCTCTGACAGGCAGTGATACTCAGGAAACAATACACTTGTACTGCAAGCTCTAATCTTCTTTTGAAGATTGACAATTGTTAATGAGATTTATTGCATGAGCAGATAGAAACCAAAACATCAGCTTCTTCCTTTAGGAGATGATAAGGGTTTTTCTTGAAGACTTTTCATACAATATTCATTCAGGAAATTTGAGGCTTCCATTCTCTCAGGAAATAAGGCAATGGTAACCAAGTAGTTCTGTATGGGTGTTACAGATATTCATAGCAACCATGCTATTGGAACTGGTTGCAAATAGTTTAGTCACACAATTGCCACATTTATGGCTCTAGGTAGATTCAATTGATCTTTGATTCAGAAACATATGACATGATTTTCTGTTGAGGCCAACATTTATATGCCTGTCTGTACTATGAATAGGAAAGCAGTGTCTATACTGCAGAAACTGCTTAGAGAAATATTATTGGGTAGGCTCATTTAGGTGATCAAAAATGTTTTTTTTTTCTAGTACTAAAGTTTACCATTGTTTAAAAAATACAAACTAGTGTTAATATCAACCTAATTTCTGTCATGTCCTAAAAAGCTATATATTGGCTAAAGTCCATTTGAGTGTGACTTGATGCAAGTTCAAACAAGCAGTGCCCTAATAGCATTATTTTGTGCAGTTTGATCTGTGTCATAGCAATAGCTATGATCTCATCCCACTGTCACAGTGTCATTCATCGTTGCAGGGGGTCAGATTTTCCCATCTTCAAAAGCAAAGGCTGAAAAGTCATGATAAGAATTGCTCTAAACATTATGTTTGTGGCAATACAGTGAGCCAGTGGACAAAAACCTACTTGTTTTTATCTGTTGCTTTAAGAACTTGCACAAGTATCAAATTTAATAGGAAAAAAAAAAAAAGAGCAAATCCATGTGAAAACCATCCTTAAAAATGATTTTTAAAATAACCCAGGACACATTTTGATAGAACTAGGAAGTACTTGATGGAGTACTTGATGGAGCTTTGCAGAAGCTGGCTAGACTCCATCCTACACATGCAGAAGTTCAGGAAGAAGAGAGTGAAATCAGAATTTTTGCCACTGAAGGTCAGATGGTCAACTGCCTTGTACACAGAGTCTTCACTCGTCTAAAATAGCTAGTGTTCGCTCTGCTTCGATGTGTTGGAGACCACCTAGTTGTTAAAAGTATCTTAAACTTGCCTTTGTTTTCATGACCTTACCCGTTTCTGGCTGCACCGTACAATCAAGAAGGTCTCGATGCTGTGCTCTTTCAGATAAGCATTGCGCTCCCCTCCAAAGCCCAGCTCCACCTCGTAGTCTCCATTGAGATAGTTCAGGGTTGCTTTCGTTATATGGATGCGTCTTACAGGAGACAAAAGATAAGACAGTTTGTGTGCTTGAGAAATTATCATCTGTCTATAAGTCAGTTCCTGTCAGCAACAGACTACGTGTCCTGTAACAAACCAGCAAAAAACCCCAACTTATTCAGCCATGCCACTTATAGATGTGTATCAGAAGTTCTGTCTGTTCTAGAGGAAGCAGGAAAGGAGACAAACTCTAAAGTGAGAAGCGTGTTACACATTCATTTATAAGCACATCCTTAGATCCAATGCCTTGATCATTCTAACAGATATATATTTTTGGCACATACAGACCCTTTAAAGTCTATTTAATGGGCATATGTAATACATATTGGAGCAAATATCTTTTTTTGTTGCATCCCTTTAGGCAGTGGTACAAGAGTGCCCTGGAGAGGTAACCCATTGAGTATCATAGTCTTGCACGTTCTTCCAGCACACAGCTAAGTTGTTTAAACAGACATGGAAAGTTGTTTTGAGTAAATATCTCCCAGGGACAGAGTGGCAGCAAGTCAGACTTCTTCTGGTCCAAACAGTTGTGAAACAAGAACTGATTGTGCTCTCTCAAAGGAGAGTTTCAAAACAGAAAGCAAGACTGAAACAACTTTTCTCATAACATCCAACAACAAATGGAATGCTCTCCAGCAGGTGTCGTTGACATACAGCCACGTTCTTTGGAACCATAGCCAGCTCTGCCAGTGTTCACACAGACCTGTTCTTTTCCACTGTAGCTATCAGCTTTGTTTCACAGAGAAGGAATTCAATTCTTACCAGAGAAGGATATATCCATGTTGGGAATTTGTAAACTTTCTGTAACCTAACACATGTATATAGACAACTGAATAACCTTGCTAACATCTGCGTACATTTAGAAAACTATAACCACAGCTGATTTTACAGCAGGTATACAGACTGTCAAAACCTCTTTCCCCCATTTCCACACCTCTCTGGGAAGCGTCAGACATGAAAACAACACCCAGGTGAGCATGATGGCTTTGATGAAGCAACTTACCCAGCTTTGCCCCCTGCTTCCATGTGGTTGGCTAATGTAACATCATTCGACCACACATCGAACTGCCACTTCCTAAGGCCCAAGACCCCACAGTGAACTCTCCCGCTGTGGATTCCAACCCTCATGTTGACATTTACTCCTGTCACCTCCCGGACTAATCTGAAAAAAGATATAGGAAAAGAGACATCACTAAGATCTGCAGTCAGTGGCAGAGGCTTGCACCCAGAACACAAACATCCATCCTGACCTATATATTATTCATGCATACACACAGTGCTGCTCATCCACAGGACAACAAAACAAAACCAGATAGACTGTACTGTATTTGGATGGCCTGACTGACCAAGCAGAGCACTAATAAGATTAGAGGACCCCTTAGAGTAAATCCATGCCCTCTGAACTCACAGAAAAATCATGAAAAAAAATCTTTGGGAACAGTGAAAGGAGTAAAGCATTGGTCTCTGATTTCCATACCAAAGCTGGACATAACCTGCCAGCACTTAGACTCATTAAGACTAATAGCATGTTTCAGAGAGAAAAAGGAAATGATTTCAGAGATCTTAATTTGCCTGTATGGCACCATGCACCAACTGTTCCATAGATGAAACATGATATGTGTGTGAAATACCCTATTGGCACTGGAAAGCTTGAATGGGTCTTAGAGCTACAGTCAGAGCAGCAAAACCAGAGAACCACATCTATTGCAGTTACTCCAAACAGGCTGCTACAAATACTCAAGTTCTGATTTTAATGAGGTCTTGGATGCTCTGTTTACTCCCCAAATGACTGCTGGAATACTTTGTGGGTTTTGCCCTTTTAGGGCAAAAGTTAACTTCAAGATTTTTCACATGAAACATATATTCAGGAATGTGGGTAGGGGAGAGTCTTGATGAAGCCATCAGAACAATTCTGCTTCTCATTATTGCTGGTCAATGGCACCATTTCCAGAATGCCCGTGTTCCATGGGGAAATTCACCCACATCACACAGGACAGTCCTTTCCTTTGAGCTGTTAGCATGTTGCAGCATGAAGTCATACTTTGTACCTACCAGATTTCAGACTCTTTGGTCTTCAGGGTCTTATTACTCCTTACACCATCTTGGACACATAAGTCCTCCCAGTTTCCTAACATCAACACAGAGCTAATATTTAACTTTATCTATTGATGAAAACGATGATTAAAGATAGACCAACTCTGGATTCTAATTCACTCCTCACAGTGTAATGCACTCCTTAAAAGGATGTTCAAGACCTTTCTCTTTGAAACAGCTCCTACCCTACACTTAGAATACCGTTCTCCTTATAATCTCTATCTTCCGATATTTCATTATCTACTTGCTGAACCAACATACACTGTTTTAATAAAAGTAACAAAGGAGTTCATAAACAAGTTGCTGAGAGTCCCTAGAAGTGAAGGGAAGCTCCATACAGATAAGGTACCACTGAAAGAGCTTGAACTACATCACTTTGGAAAGGATTCAGAATTGGAGTCATGAAAATGCACCTGCAGCCATAAGCTTTACAAGGACAAGAGCAGCTGTAATATGCATGCAGTGCTGGGGAGGGAGGAGGAACACACTGCATGACAGCCACAAAGCCCACTGCACCCTATGCCAAGCCATGCTGTTGACACAGGACAAGGGTACTTTTCCCAGTATGGTCATGGATGAGAAGGTGATTTTCATTAGACTCTGCAGAAAGCAAATAAGCTTTGTTACCCTTCATAAACAAAAGGAATTGCTTTTGTTATCTTCTCATTTTTTAGATTTATACCAGGAATACAATGAATTTCTGATCTGCTCTTGTTGTGCACAGATGAAATAGGCCTACAAGCAGGTCCTAACACTGGTGAACCCTGCAGTTTAATGTTCAGTAGATATTTCACGGAATCACAGAATTGCAGGGGTTGGAAGGAACCTCCAGAGATCATCGAGTCCAACCCCCCTGCCAAAGCAGGTTCCAACAAAGCATTTGTTACCTGAACTGTGAAACCTCTTATGACCCTTAGGGTAGGTGGAGGATAGGAAAGCAGGGGGAAGGCAAACAGCAACACCTAAAAGATAACACTGTTAAACGCATTCATTCCACAGCAAGTGGAAAACCAGTTTCAAAGGCTGCTGAGGAGCTATTTTTAAGCAAGCATCAAGTGCACTTCAGCTCCGTTTATTTCAAGGAGAGGTGGGGTGTAGCTAATCAATGAAGTCTAGACATCTGAGGTGTTACTCAGCCTTGTGGGGGTTGCGTGTCAAGGTCTATGGATTTCATCAAGTCAGCTACTGCAAAAAGTGAGACTTTTCTGGTTAATGTACACAGAATTCTCTTCATAGGATTGGTTCAGTAAGAACCTTCTTGTGTTTGATAAGACACTTTGTCACCTGCCACTTAACTGTACTTCATGTGGAATAAATAGCACCCTTCCAAGGACTACTGAAAACTAGTTACTTACAACTCTTTTTATTTTGCATCTTGCATGCAAAGTCCAAAAGGAGGCTAGTGCAAAGTATTAAGAGTTTAGACCCGATAAGAGCTAGTAGGTCTTGATAACGTACATTGTTGCAAAACAAGGAAATGCTGCTGCCTATTGCTTTTTTAATAGGCTCTCCTAGTTGAAAACAGTGCTGTTCAAACTATGAATTTGTGTTGAGAAAATGATGCTGAGAACTGTGGGTGTCTATTTACATTTTTGCAGAAATCCAAATTATAAGGATGTACTGTATCAAGCTCAGATTACGTAGCTCTAGTCTTTCCCAAGATTAAGTGAAATCTCAATCTACTTACTGAGGAAAATGAGAAGAGTACTGCATAGAGACATCTCTGCTAGTACTGCAGATATTTTAGAAGATGCTTTCACAAAGAAAAATATAGAAGAGAAAGGAAAAAGATGCAGATTCTCTAGGCAGCAAGGATGGTGTAGATATCAAGGTCTGCTCAGTTACCATTCAAAGCTGAATGAACTTTGTGCCTAAACTTGCATGCACTCATCATGACCAAACAGATCTCATTTCCCCACATGCTGAAAGTACTGGCATGTGAGAGCTTACATCTGAAGCAATCACTATTCAGTATTGCTTGTGATCCTCCAAGTAATATTACTAGACAGAGGTCTCATGTTTGTTAGTTCCCAAAGACAGTGGTGGTCTGGACAAACACAGAACAAAAATTCAAAAGAAAAATCCTAAAATGGAGATGTAAGTAGAAATAAAGTAAAAAAAAAAGCATCATGGGTATGTCTCTGTGTCAGACTAACCTTGTCAGTTTCCTCGATAATTTGTCTAAAGTCAGAAAGTGCTGAATCTGACCTACTTGGTATCAGGACACATGAAGAAGCTTAACTAGAAAAAGACAGACCTTAGCAGAGGAGTTGTACCATGAGTAAAAAGCTGGTTCAAAGACAGATAAGTACAGAATGATTGAAATTTAATAAAGTTATTATTAATCCTTTGATTTCACATTTCTATTATTCACTGGAATCCTTTGGGAATGAGACTTCCACCAGTGATGGTAACCTTTGCCACTGTCATCAGGAGATGAAGCTCTGATCTCCACATGGCTGTAACAGATTCAAGCACCTGTTTTTCTGTGTGAAACCTTTACTGCATTCTGTTACCTTATTCCGATTGGACTCTACAGCCATCAATCCCCTGGCTTAGTTATCTTGCTGCAATGCATGGAATATCTAACTGGAAGTGAATCTCCTTGCTATTTGTTCTGAAATTCTCCGTGGGGAATATGGTACTTACGAGATGGCCTCTATCATATCCATTCCCATTTCAACACAGCAGTGTGCATGGTCAGCTCTTGCTTCTGGCAACCCAGACACACAGTAATAGCAATCACCCAGGATCTTGATACGCAAACAGTGGTTCTCCTAAAAAAAAAAATAATAATAAAGGAGAGAGAAGCATTCAGCTTATATTCATGCTTGCAATAGCTTGCCTTTTAGGGCAGAGAATATTTACAGAAATCCAGTGAACCAGCACAGTATGTCATTCTTGCAACAGGAAAAAAAATATATCAGAATTATAAAAGAAAACTTACAGCTGCTAGCTTATCAAATCTGGCAAAGAGCTCGTTCAGCGTCATGACCAGCTCCTGAGCAGTGCACTGGGAGGCCAGACTTGTGAAACCCTCTATGTCTGCAAAGAGGATGCTTGGGAAAAAAAGAGAAGAAAAAAAAAATGAAAGTGTCATAAATTTGTTGCTGATATTCGTGTAAGCTCTGGGGTAGAAGTCCTGGGTGGGGTAGACGTGAAATAGGGGTGTCCCAGCCCTAAAGGAGCAATCTCTACAGAGTTTAGAAAGGGTTGAAAACCCACAGCCTTTCTTTCTCCCACCTCTGCTCTGTGACTGAAAATGTACAGTATGTTGGGAACCAGAGGTGTTGGATAAAGCTACCAACCATTATGAACAGCTAGGCTCTCTTACACAATGGCTACGGCAGCCTAGCACACTTACCCTTTTCTTCACATTCCTGCATCTGTCAGCTCAATAACATTGCCTAATTCTCAACCCCACTGTAGGAAAACCACACACCTCTGCCCCCTCCCCCCAAAGTGCAGTCACAACATAAAGTTCCTATAATACACAGAGCCTCAGAAATTATTCTGTCTCAGAAACAATTACAACACTGAAAACACTGATTTGCAAAGAAAGCCACCGTGCTGCATTTGAAACTGTTCAGCAAAACAAACACCAGATTCTGTCCATACAGATCTCAGACAGACAGCATTTATATATGCATGCATATTGATATAAACATAAAACTCATAAGTCACATATTATTGTATTTGAACTTTTAACAGTAGCTGATTTCTTCTTTGAAGGTACAAACTGTATTTGAATGAAAAGAGAAATTAAAAACGTAAATAACAATCACTTCAAAATTGTTTCTTCTTTGTAAAATAAAATTCTGACATGTTTTCAGCAATTGCAAAAACTGTGATTTCATGGTAATGTCTTCAGACAAGAAGCAAAGACAAAAATACCCAAAACATTTTCAGAGGCATTTTTTGCAAAAATCCCAAAACACTTTTAATTCTGGCATGCTTTTCATGCTCTTTTTCTACATTTCAACTCCAATAAATCACCAACCATAGCACATTAAATATTTATTTGCTGGTCAGGCTGAAGTTAAATTGTACAAGAAAAATACAAAAGAGGAACGCAGGGATGTCTGAATGAAAATATACTTTGCCATTTTAAAAACACTTGACAAAATATACACAAAATATATCAATGTTTCACATATTTACAAACAGAAGCAAACTTCCCAAAGAAATACACTTGAAACCTACTGAAATCTTCAAGATGGTTATATTGCTCTCTAAGCAACTTAAGTATGTTTTCTTATGCAATGTAGAAATAGGAAATTCATCCAGCTTCAGCAGCAGTAACAAAATGTATCTTGTTGCAAGCTGAAAATTTACGTAATGCTACTGTAACATGACTGCTAAGTTTTCAAGAGTGGACTATGTGTCACCCATGAAAGACAAAATACATGAAATGCGTAAAATCAATGCAAACCCATCCGTTCAGAGGGATGTGGATTTGTTCCTATTCCAGCATAAGGCAAGTAGCAAATTCTTCACTTGAGGACATGTTCACACTCTGCTTTTGTGTGTGTGTTAAAACAGGAGAAGCATTGAGCAAACGGCGCAATGTGACATTGGGTCTATCTGAAAACTCTACACAGGGATACCCTGAGCCACCTCCTCATGCCCCATTCAGAAAATCACTGCCTCTGTAGTGCCCTAATAAACATGGATAAATGACTGAAGGCTGACCCCTCCTTTCACCATTACTATCCTGCCAGATAAATGCATCAGATTTTCCCAGAGTTAAACTGCAGCAGTACTTTCAACTAGGTAAACGAAGAAATCAATGGAGACCTATGGAGCCAACCTATGCACAGATTCACAACCTTTTAAATTTAAACTACCTGATTACAACATTTTCTGAAACTTCCAACCTTCTGCAGCCGACCAATAAATTGATTCTTGTTTGAATTCAGTAGCTACTCCTTTGGATTGACCCTATAGTCTCAGACTTCCAAGGACAGCTGCAGGCCCACATGCAGCACTCTGGCCAAGTTCTTGAAAACTGCAATTATAAGCAATTACAAATGGGTTTATTATGATAACAAAGCCTTGAAAAGTTGCAAGATGGGACTCGAAAATGCATTAAGTGCATGAGCCAGAAGCAGTATTTGAAAGTTAATTTTGTCTGATGCCTCTGTTAGAAAGCCAACATTTATCCCATCAGATGCTTCTCTGGGTGAGTGTTTTGTTTGAGGAAAGAGGAGTGCATAAAATAATTTTAACAGAGTCAGCTTGATCATTTTGGAGAGGGAAGTCAAGGAAAAGTATGTTTGGTTTATCTAAAGTAAAGGAATGACTCGGTTCTTTTTTCGATGCTTCCAGTCTCCTCAGAGTCTTCAACATGGACATGGTGTTAGGCAATAAGGGAAAGCTCCATCCAGCATGTGAGTTTTGCTGTTTATACGAAAGCCTACTTAGAATTGGTTACATATTAAGTAATCCCTTCACATGACTTTGCACTTTGTGGTTAACAAAAAGGCATCTATCTGACTGACCATGGTGCCCTCTTCCACGTCTGCTGAGTAACACAGTGGTAGCAGCTAAACACTGCAGATTAGAAACAGATTAAGACCTCTGCAAGCACCTGTCTAAGCAACTGAGCCATCAGAAGATGCTACCTGGGATCTCATTGTCCATTTTGCAGCACAAAGGCTTCAGGGGACAGAAAACATCTTCAAGGCACAGAAAGGAGAGGGCAGTGATCTGTATTTAGCTAGAACTTTTCTTTAAAAAGGACTCTGTAAGGTCTCCTTGTACATGCAACACATTGTGAGGCTGCAGGAACATCTCTCACTCCTGCAAGTTCATTATATTGAGATCACAAACCTTCAGCACAAAGCTTCCTCCCTACCCCTAGGTCTGCCCACAGCTCAGTTCAGACTTTCATTTCAGACTACCTTTAGTAATGAGAAGACTGCTGCCACTGATGGATGATTGTAATGAAGGGCACAACTTAAACCGACTATTTGTCAGTCTTCAGAGGTCAAGGCATTTCCTTGCTGGTGGGAGCATAGTGCCAGTAATAAGCCTTCCTTGTGCCAAAATTTGGGGTAAATGACAGTGGTCAGCAGAAGGTCAAATGACATAATTCCTACAGTTATAAAATAATGTGAGATAAGTGAGTGGTTTAGAAGTAGTATTACATGAAGCTGACTGGAAGGGATTGACCACACAATCTGCAGTCTGGGCTTCAGCAACAATTATCAGCAGAGGGTCCCAGTCCCTTCTGGAAGGCTATTACTGTGTGGAAAAACCAGTTTCACAAGTAATTAAAGTGTTGTAATGGCTTCAGAGCTCTTTATATATTTTCCACTTCATCACTGACTTCAGTTATCATCTGATTTGGGTTTTGCCCAGCACTAACTAGAGTATGGCCTCCAAAAAAAAACAACATACCTAAAATAGTTCTGGGAAGGAAGGGCAAGAGAAGGGGAGTTAACATTGATTTTACTAGGTTTTTAAAAAATTTTTTATGTTTAATTTAGGTTGAAAAGTACCACAGATTGTGTTACAGGGTAGAGGTGAATACTTTCCTAAGTTCCTATTTCAGCTCCTATTTCCAGCAAGGACTGACTCAAGACTTCATAGCTGTACAAGGCAAGCTGAGCTTTGTGGCTGTTGCCCTATGTGGCTCATGACACTGGTGGAGAAGAGAGATGAGGAGGAGCTTGAGAAGCTTCCAGATCCTGTCACCATCGCCGCTGCTCAGAGCCTGCAGTGGGAACCTGTCTGGCTGGTGGTGCTGCTCCATGACGCAGGGCCCACAGAGGCCTGCAATTGGGATCAGCCCAGTTTCTGGGACTGTCTGTGCCCAGCACCATCCCATTGCACCTCAGGTACAGCCACTGTAGACTTTTTAAAACTAACTCCTGTAATTCAGGCTATCCTCATTAGAACTGCACAGCTAGCATCCTCCAAAGCAGAAGCATTGCAGCATTTTCTGGATGGCAAAGGAGAGAGTTCTTAGCGAAAATGTAGGAAAGGAGAGAGATCTTCCCAGAAAGCAAAGAACCTAAGGGGTAGGAAGAGCTAAGCAAAAAGTGGGAAGTAGGAAAACCACATGGGATTTTTAAAATCCACAGACACCTACACAAAGTGATTCTGAAGTGCAGCCTTAAATGTCTGAAGCTAATAGAGTTACCAAAGGAGGGACACAACACAGCCAGGTTTCATTGCAAATGCAGGATTGTTCAAAACGCTAAATTAAATCATCTGTGTTTCTAATGTAAAAACAATAAAACAGTTGTGTTCTATTTTGAGACATGTGCGTGCCATGTACGCCAGCCACAACATAAATCAAGCAAGGCAAGAAACACAAACCCTATCACCATCACAACAGTAATGCCAGTCATGAATATAAACACCATGTGTTACTGGAAACCGAACACCACAGGCACTGCATGGGAAACAACAAAAACCCAGACTTGGTAAGCTTTAATGACTTATAGAAACAGTGAAGTGCATCTGACTATACATGAAGCAAAGCCATGGTATTTTACTTTAATGAAGAGTACCTAAAAAGAGAAGGAAAACTTAATGCACCAAAATAAAATAATAATCACTCATTAAATACAAGCTCACTAATTTGCACTCACGAGTGCAGGTATAACAAGAGAAAGTCATTTGCTGTAGACACAGCATGTGCATGTTAGTGAATTCACCAGGCTAAGTGGCAAGGATAATGTCTCAAATGTGCTGCTGTTATTTTACAACACCACACTACTATTGGTGTTGCCAGTTGTTAAGTGATGCTACAAACAAGGAGAAAGAAGGATGGATTAAGATGAAGATGACGAAACTCTCAGCTGAAGGGTTGGTTTGAGCCCTGTAATAGCAAATGAATCAAAGGATGACTGAGGTTGGAAAGGACCTCTGCAGATCCTTTGGTCCAACCCCTGCTCAAGCAGGGTCACCTACAGTCAATTGCCCAGGACTGTGCCCAGGAGGTTTTTGAGTACCTCCATAGGGCAGCATTTCTTGAGCAGTTTGATAAATGAGTCAATTCTCGTACATGGACATCTATTTAAGTCAGTTCTCTGCCAGCAGCATAAGC